CGGTGACCTCTGCGGCGCCGGTTCGATTCCTGGCTGCTCCCTGGCCACCAGAGGAGGGTCCCGCATGGCGCGCAGACCTCTCCTGCCGCCCGCTGCTCCCCTCAGCAGTGTACTTTGGTCCTTCTGCCTGCTCTGCTCCCTGCTCTGGCTCTGGTGAATTCTCTCACCCTCCCGCACTTCTGACTGTACCCAGTGCATGTACAAACAAAACAAACAAACAAATAAATAAATAAATAAAACATGCCTCTATTAAAAAAAAAAAAAAAAGAACTATTTATATGTTATATCTACCATAACATTGAATGCCTGTGTCGTTACCATGCTGATTTAATTATTCTATTATGTATAGTATATGTTTTAATGTTTCATATTCAATTATGTTAAATATTTAGTATTGAGGAAGGAATAAGTCTTCCTTCATTACTCTTCTTTTTCTAAATTGTTTCCACTATTCTTATCAATTTCTTGTTCCAAATGAACTACAGAATAATTTTGTCAGTTTCTCCAAGAATTTGACTAAGTTTCAAAAAAGACACTTTGTCAGAAATGCTCTGAATTATCAATAATTTTGGGAAAAAGTGTTAACCTATACACATGTGTTTCTAGTAGAAAAGCAGGATTAGTTATAACTCCTCTGATATTCTGAATTTTGATGGTTTTCGAAGAATAAGTTGAAGAAACTCAAAATATGAGAGGAGAGGAGAGCTATATAGAGAATCACCTACTTCAACAAAGGCCTCATCAGGGCTATGTGTCTTTTATGAAGACTGATACTCTCAGGGAGAATCTGCTTCTGCATTCTTCTGGAATGTTCATTCAGGCTGTTATCATAATTCAGTTGCATGCAGTATAGAAAGAAAGTCTTGTTTCCCTGCTTGCTTGTTTCCTTGCTTGCTTATTTCCATTTCCAGCTTTTAGAGGCTCCTGTATTCTTTGGCTTAGAGCTCATTCCCCTAGTCTCAAAACTAGCAATGGAAGATTTCTTTCCTCCACACCTGTAATCTCTCCTGCCTTCTTTTCTTTCTTTCTTTCTTTCTTTCTTTCTTTCTTTCTTTCTTTCTTTCTTTCTTTCTTTCTTTCTTTCTTTCTTTCTTTCTTTCTTTCTTTCTTTCTTTCTTTCTTTCTTTCTTTCTTTCTTTCTTTCTTTTAAAGATTTATTTATTTATTTATTTATACAAGCACTGGGTACAGTCAGAAGCGCAGGAGTGCGAGAGAATTCACCAGAGACAGAGTGGGGAGCAGAACAGGCAGAAGGACTGAAGTACACTGCTGAGGGGAGCAGCAGATGCGGCAGGAGAGGTCTGCGTGCCATGTGGGACCCTCACCGGTGGCCTGGGATCGAACCGGCACTGCAGAGGCTGTAGGCAGCTTTGCAGCCCAGCGCTCAACCGCTGCGCCACCAGCGGAGGTCCTCTGCTCTATTTCTTTTTTTTTTTAATATATTTTATTTTTATATTCCCCATACAATTGCAACCCCCTTATTTTGACCCCAATCCCTTCCCTCCCCGCCCCCCACCCCCCATAGAGTGTCTCTGGTTCATAGTTGTTTGTTGATTTTGATTTTCACTTTCTTATAGTTATTCATTTTCCCGGTCCCTTATTTACGTTTTCTAGATTCCTGCTATGAGTGAGACCATCCGGTATTTTTCTTTTTCTTTCTGACTTATTTCGCTGAGCACGATCCCTTCCAGCTCCATCCATGTTGCTGCAAATTGCATGTGTTTATCTTTTTTGAATGCTGAGTAATATTCCACGGTGTATATGTACCACATCTTCTTGATCCAGTCATCTATTTTTGGGCATTTGGGTTGTTTCCAAAGCTTAGCTATTGTAAACAGTGCTGCTATAAACATAGGGGTGCAGGTGCTCCTTGGAATGGATGTTTCTGTGTCCTTTGTGTAAATACCTAGGAGTGGAATTGCTGGATCATATGGAAGTTCTATGTTTAATAGGTCAAGAAATCTCCACACAGTTCTCCACAATGGTTGGACCAGTTTGCACTCCCACCAACAGTGCAGGAGAGTTCCTTTTTCTCCACATCCTCGCCAACATTTGTTGTTGCTAGTTTTTTTTAATATGTGCCATTTTCACTGGTGTAAGATGGTATCTCATGGTAGTTTTGATTTGCATTTCCCTGATGACAAGTGATGTTGAACATTTTTTCATATGCCTGTTGGCCATTTGCCTTTCCTCTTCAGAGAAGTTTCTTTTTAGCTTTTCTGTCCATTTTTTGACAGGATTATTTTCTTTCTAATAACTCTTCTGGTATACTCTTCAAATTTTACCCCTCAGGTCCTTGATATGAATCCCGTTTACAAAGCCCTTTTCACTGCATTGAAACATTCACAGGTTGGTGGAATTAGGGTGTGGTGGACCATTATTCCACCTACCACACAGGGAATGCAAGGTTGCTCCATGTTTGCACTAACCTGTTTTTATCATTACTATAATGCCTCAGCCCCAGCAGTCAACAATAATAGGAAACTAGTAGAAAATAGCCAAGGTCTTTTGTTCTTTGCCTTTCTGCTTGCCTTTAACTATTGGATTTTCCTTACCCAGATGTATGAGATTGATGTATGATATAGATAGAATGTTTAGAAATTATTTCCTAACACCATCACTAACCCAACAATTGGAATAAACATCTCCCTTCTACTACTGTTGAACTATACAGAGTAAGGAAGGTGAAATAAAGGGGAGGATAGGAAACAGTAAGTTTAGAACAAAAATGTAAAGTCATTCAAGCAAACTGAGCAGTTTATCACTCCCTCCTTAAGAATTCAATCCAGAAAATTCTCAAAGCTAGAATGTTGAAGAGTCAGGTATTGGATGTTGCTGTGAGCCACACAGTGCTAGCTGACGCCACAAGTCTTTCCTAGTTTTTTAAACTAAACTGTGTGCTACATGGGTATAGATACTATCCAGTAAATGAGGAGTTTTAGGCTCAGAGAGATGATCATTTTCCTAGAAGGGCTGATGTTAGAGCTGGATCTACACTTAGGTTTTCTGGCTGGTCCAGCCCAAGGAATTTGTTCTCCCTATTCCCTAGCAAGAAGGGACTATTGAGTTTGTTATGATCCCACAACGCACCCGTCAGTGTCTTTAAAAAATCTTGGAGATGTCATCCTCCTTCCTCAACCTTTCTGTCCTCCAGATGTTACAGTGACTTCCTGATGCAGATCCACAGTAACTTTCCTGTGATCATTACACATTTACTTCTGTTTGGTCATTGTCTCCAAGTTGATGTTATTCAGGCTATTCATGACCACTGTGCTGTGGACTTACTCTTTTTCCAACTGTTTCTCTCCCCCAACCCACCACCACCACTTTCTTGCCCAAACCCTCTCTTTCATCAGTAAATGCCAAAGAAACAAGGAAATTTGCTGGGAAATGGTCTCTGGTTAATTCTGCTAGAATTTATAACAGCAAGAAGACCCAGTGTTATTACACGAAAGCTCTCACTGCTGTCTCTAAGCTTTCGATGAGTAATTGTTCATTGAAAGCCAATTAACAACCTCTCCTTTATTTCTGTTTTATTTCTAAAATTTCTGTTAAAAAAACTCAACTTCTTACACAGTATAAATTCCTACATAACTTGCCCTGCCCTTCTCTTCCATCACACCTTAAGTCAATCTGCACTTTTTTTTTTAAGATCAGTTTATTTATTTATACAAGCACTGGGTACAGTCAGAAGCTCCGGAGGGTGAGAGAATTCACCAGAACGGGAAACAGAACAGGCAGAGTGACGAAATACACTGCTGAGGGGAGCAGCAGGCACGGCAGGAGAGGTCTGCATGCCATGTTGGACCCTCGCTGGTGGCTTCGCAGCCCAGCGCTCAACTGCTGTGTCACCAGGGGAGGCCCCAATCTGCACTTTTCAGACTACTCTAGCCAGCTGGCTAAGGCCTGCTTCTGAGCACTTGAATGTGACCAATCTGAAGATAATGTTTTGGAAGTATAATATATACACAGGGCTTTTAAGACTTAGTAGGTAAGAATTTAAGGCTGCAAAAAAGTCATCAATATTTTTATATTATATTGATTACATATTGAAATGATCATGTTTAACGCATGTTGAGTTACTATTAAAATTAATTTGAGGGCCTCCCCTGGTGGCGCAAGCGGTTAAGCGCAGCACTGTGAAGCTGTCTGCAGCCTCTGCAGCGCCGGCCCGATCCGGCTGGCTGACCAGGGTCCCACATGGCGCACAGACCTCTCCTGCTGCCTGCTGCTCCCCTCAGCAGTGTGTTCCATCAGTCTGCCTGTTCTGCTCCCCGCTCTGTCTCTGGTGAATCCTCTCACCCTCCCGCGCACATCTGGCCTGTCCCCAGGTTCTGGTGTAAATGAATAAATAAATCTTTTTAAAAAATAAAATTAATAAAATTAATTTGATTCTAAGTTTCATAATGTGGCATTCTAAAATTTTAAAATTACATTTGCGGCGGGCACTACATCGGACGGCGCTGTTCTATCGCTCCCTCTCAGGAACCCACCCGCCTCCGTCACAGCTGATCCCCAGACACTTCCGTCAGACCCTGAAGCACAGTGGAGACTCCCTCCTGCGCCGGAGGCCGTCTGTCTCCCTGGACACAAGGTCTCCAGGCCTTTGGGCTACACCCGCAGCTCAAGACTGACCACATACGTGCACGTCTGGTAAACTCTCCTTCGTGGAAAGAATAAGCCACAGCGCCCACAGGGGACCCCGAGCTAGAACCCTGGCTCCTCAGCCCTCTGACCCCTGCGGACCGCCCCCCCTCCCCGCCATCCCGGGGCCTGCGCCCTCCGGCCACAAGGCGGCGTCCTGCGAACAGCAGCCGCCAGTGGTACAGTCCGAATCCCCCCACCTCCTCGGTGCTGTGGGCCCGTCCAGATGTAGAAAAGCATTGTGGGCCGGCCGCGCGGTCTTTCCTGCCGCCGGCGCGGCGAGACGTGACGCCCCGGTTCCGCCCGGTGGCTGGCGGCGCGGTGGCGGGCCCCGGCGAGTCCGAGCGCCCCGGACCTGGAGCCATGGGTCGCCGCGGCCTGTCTTGGCCTCGGCTGTGCCGGCCATGGCCAGGGCGTTTCAGGGGCCCCTGAGGCGGCCCCACTTGCGCGTCGCCATGCCCGGGAGCGTTTCGCCCGTTTTCCGTGTGCCAGAGCCCGCAGCGCCCCAGCCTGCCGCGGCCGGGGTGGGCTCGGCCCGCGCGGAAAGGAGGCGCGTTTAAGGTTCAGATCTTGAGTGTTTGAAGGCGCAGGATTGTGCGGAAATGGAGTGAATGTCACAGACTTTTCCAGGTGAGCTTTAACGCTATTGCCAAAAGAGATGTTGCTTCTGTGGGAGAGCAACCCCGATACAAAACGGGGCGTCTGACTGGGGGGTCCTCACCCGCGCGCTTAAAAGGACTTATCAGTGCTTCATTTCCCCCTAACACTTCGAGCTTTTTTTTTAAGAGTCATTTTAAATAATTTCATTTTAGTTTTCATTATTCAGACGGATACTGAACGGTGAAAGTCTAAAAGTAAAGTTGGGGTTAATTCTTGCCTGTTGAGCGCTAGTGAACAGAACAGTTTATCTGGGCCTTTTTGTACCATAGACTAAGTTTCTGTGGCTATGTGGGGGTTGAGGGGGTAACCGGAGGCTTGGGGAAGAAATAACCCGGAGGCTGAGCGGACTACAGAAAGGACGGGTATATTGACAGACCCTGCATGCAAGTGAGCAGGGGTGAGCGGGAGAGGTCTGTGTTTCAGGATTTGAGGGTCTTTTAAACTGTTAACCTGCCCTTGCTTTCTCGGGGCAGGGGTTTTGCACAAGTTACCTGCTGGGCCATCGGCCTCAGTGGTCGGTTCCACGACCTGGTTCTCAGGGCAACCTTAGTGATTTCCCCCATCGATGCAAGCCTCCCAGATTTGCCTGCTGTGCAAGGAGTGGGTGCGGGGGTCAGCTTAGTGTTTGAGTTTATTAAATGTAGCCTTTGTGTTGCCCGTTCACTTTTGAAAACTAGTGAATGTGGTGTCAAAAAAGGCATAAACTAAATACTTAGCAGGCTTTTCCTGCCTCTGAATTTTGTATCTTTGGCATAGGAACTGCTTAAGTAACAGATACAATTTTACATTAATTTACATCTGTGGCCTTCAATCTGCAAACGTGTAAAGTTTCTCTTAACTAATTTTTGTTCAGGTGAGATGGATCTTTGAAGCATAGACTACTGCTAACTGAATACCATCTGAAGCATAAAGGTACATAAGGTAGAGTGATGTTGTAAAAGTTCTAGCATAAAGTTAACTCTTAATGGGGATTTTGTTACCTTTCTAGCAGTGCCTTCTCTAACCAGTGTTTAAATCGGGTGTTAATGATTCATTTGTGCTGCTACTTCTGTAGTTCACAAGATGATTAAAATGAGCCATTTATCAAATTTCAGACAGGTTGGTAGTGTGGTTTAAAGCCAAGTATAGAAAAAGACACAATGCGGAAGTGTGTTGTGAGAGTTTACTATCATATTCTTAAGATGTGTGTCCTTGTCAAATTTGATTTTTTTTTTTTCCCCCTTTAGGATGTTCTGGGTAAGGAAACTGAACTTGATCTTCACAGATTACATGGATTAGTAAAATCTTCGAGCCTGAGGAGCTAAAAATTATGCTGCAAATACATGCTTTAAAATGGTGGGGCTGTGTCTATTTTAATGTGCTTCTTGGAGGTTTGTGTAATGATTAAGTTCCAGGGAATAGCATTTAAAATTCTGTAAATCTTAACAGAAGAAATTGATATTTACTGCTGTCAATTACTGATAGCCTTATCAAACAGTAGGCTTAGGCTCGGCCCAAGGAGGGCAATGGTAGGCAAAACACAGCTCCTTCCTTTAGAACTTACAGTTAAAGGGAGGAAATGTTATCATTAAGATTTACACGAGGCAAGTCCCATGCGATGGGGCTTGACTGAGTCAACGAAACAGGAAGCAAAACTGAAAGTGAGGATAGGTATCATTTTTTGCAAGACCTTTGGGGAACTGTGGTGTCAAGAGGCCTTGAACTAGTAAAGGTATATGACTGTTAGTCCAGATAGAGGTAAGAAATGTTTGAGGCTTAATAAGATGGCTTTTATGGGAGCTAGAAGTGTTAAGGCTTATCAGGTTAGAGGCTAGACCACTTAAGGCTGTTTTAAAACAAGGGGAGATCAGAGATGGAAAGTCACATGTATAAAAAAACTGTTAAATATGGGAAAATAGGAGTCTACTATAATAAGAAGGCAACAGGTGGCAGCCTTGGACTGTGTGGTGGCAAAATTGATGTAAGAGATAGGGCAAAGCTGATGGAACTTGGTATTTGGACAGGCATTAACACTGACCCTTAGGTGTGTGCTTGCACATTCACAAACATGATGACCCTAAATCCAGCTGGGGAGTGGTATTTAAACTGGTTGAATTTGAACTGCCTTTGAGAAATCGTAAGTGGCTTCTTGGCAGAACAATGGCCTATAACAAACCAGAAATTAACCTTAGGGCCATGGACATCAATGTGATAAATCCAGGGAAGAGAAACTCAAGTAACTGGGCAGAATAGGATGAGCTGCAAAGAATGGTAGAAGGTACTTAAAAGAATCAAGAGATTACAAGACAGCCTAAAATGCATCGTTGGGATTTAGTGACATAGAGGTGATTTAGTGAGGTCTAAATTAATGAAAGTGGTGACATGGTGCATACTGAAGACATAAGTGACAGGAGAACAGGATGGAATATTCTGAAGGAGATAACTTCCAAAGTATAGGTGGACAGAATGAAGGTTAGGGTTAATGGCAACTTGGGTGAGAGGAAATAAAAGATGTCCTACGTGTGTATTTCTATTTTTTCCTAGTAGATTGGAAGGTCATCTGCAGAGAGGAATGGTTTGAAGTTAGGCAGGATGGAGGGATCATTGATTTTTTTTTTTTTTAAATAGAGGCATGTTTTATTTATTTATTTGTTTGTTTTTGTTTATACATGCACTGGGTACAGTCAGAAGCGCGGGAGGGTGAGAGAATTCACCAGAGCCAGAGCGGGGAGCAGAGCAGGCAGAAGGACCGAAGTACACTGCTGAGGGGAGCAGCGGGCGGCAGGAGAGGTCTGCACGCCATGTGGGACCCTCCTCTGGTGGCCGGGGAGCAGCCGGGGATCGAACCAGCACCGCAGAGGCTGCGGGCAGCTTCGCAACCCAGCGCTCAACCGCTGCGCCACCGGGAGGCCCGGGATCATTGATGTTGAGGGTCAATGTTTTAACCTTGAAGTCAAGTGAAATCCACAGGGTGATTTTTTTGCTTTTTTTTTTTTATGAAAACAAGACAAGGACACTAGAAATTGAAAGAAATGTTTACAAAGGGCTTTTTACATTTGTAGATAACATGTGGGACTTAATGCCACAAAATATTACAAAAAAAAGAAAAACCAGTTAAAGGAACAAAAATACCTGCACCCTGAAGTGGTACTTCAGTCTTTGTGCATATACACAGGCTGAGAACCCGAATAAGGATCTTTTATTCCAGTTGGTGTACTGTTAGCCAGCTGCTGCAGTCCAGGATTCCAGAGCTTTAGTCAGAAGCATCAATTTCTGTCATTTCATCAAATTGAGGCTTAAACAATTTGCTCACACAAGTATTAAAATGGTAGGCGAGAGACTCATTTTCCAAGAAGGAAAATAGGGCATCAAGTTTTACAAGACTACTATCCTTCCAGTTAACAAAAAGGCCTCTCAGAAATATGTTGTCATTAAACCTTAAAAAGAAGCAACAGACTCATTTTAGTGCTGAAGGAACACTTGAAGGTCTAATTTGAATAATTATAATTCACAGTTTCAAAGTAAAGGTGGTACACATACCCCACCCCATAAAGTCCCTTTTTCACTGAGTATCATGTGTCTTGACACGTGAAGCTTGGATAGTTTTTATTGTTTTTGCTGTGTGTTTTGCAGCCAGATTGTTTGTAGATGTCTGGGCTTTTTCTTCCATCAGGCTGTCTTTGGACCCATTTCTTCTCTAGAAAGAATTTGAGAAATAGAAAGTAAGGCTGCGAGAAAATTTTGTTAATCAGAAAATATGTTGACATTTAGAAAGTTATAAAAAAGGTTCCTCTATCAAAAGCTGTTCAAATATTGCCTCTTTAAATAGCAAACTGATTGTATAAATTCGAAGTAAAGTTCAGCTGACATGCATAATAAATTTTATTCTTACAAGTTTCGTATGTATCTCAATTTATCCCCCCCCCCCAAATGGGTCATGTAATTACTACACTAGGCTTAGGGCTCCCCCTTTACCAAATAGAGGGGAAGAGATAAAAGAATGGGGAGCTAAGTGATCTTCAATTAGTTTTTAACTTGTCACTGAATGGACCACCCCGCACAGTGCCCTGTCAGCTGGGTTGGTTTGAAATGTGAAGGCCCCAGCAGAGAAGCAAGGAGCCAGGGTGGTACACCAAGACTAGTGGAACTGGCAGCCACAAGGGGAAATCCTGGGAATGACACAGTACCTCACTGATGCTCTGTTTAGTGTTTCTGCTCTTAGAGAAATAGTCTGGCCTGTCAGATAAGTCTGACATGTTTATCCCTAATTCAGAGTTCTGTTGAGATTCATCACTGGCTAAATTTGATCTGGCTCTTCAAAACAGAACAGCAATTCCATTCATGGGTGGATTTTTGAGACATTAGAATAGATTTCTGAAACATAGCTGGAGAGGTAGAACACAAGTGCATGTGAGAATGGGCAGGGAAATTGAAAACTAGGATCAGAAGACTAGAAAAGGAGGTGAAGGTTATGTAGGAATATCCTGTAAGCCTGTCTTAAGATTGATTCTTTTTCACTGCCTGGAACCCTTAATGAAATAAGTGAATTGAAATCCCTAATTCATCCTATTTTAAGCAGCTTGCTGCTTGTAAGACACTAAGATGAAACTTACTTTTCCTAACATACTTTTCCTGCTGCCACTTGTTACAGTTTTTCTTTCTCCATAGCTTCTAAGGCCCTGTATTATCTGCCTGATTTTCTCTCACTAAGCTTAGACCAAGCTTGTCTCATTTGCTTCAGGCCAAGGGCCAAAGGCCAGGTGACCTTTGACCAACCTAATCTGTTTCTATTTTACCTCTTTTTATGTGTTACATGTCTAAGCCAGGAATCATTAAATAATTTATATAGATAGTCAGATTGTAGAGTACCTCCAGCCTCTTACACATTCCTTTTAAATTAAAAGATTTTTTTTTTAATTGTTAAAATCGCTGTTCCTGAACTATACAAATAGAGGCAGTTGACTTAAGATTTATCCCATTGACTGTGCCTCTTGCTAAGACCAGTGCTTGTCACTCCTATTATGTGCTCAATAGGTATTTGTTGAGTTCACAATTAATTCAGTTCCAGAGGTAAGTTTGGAGTCAGGGCCTTTTATCAGAATAGGCATGTGAGTTCTGTGTACAAGAAAGTGGAAGCTATTCCTTCAACCTCTCGTGTATACGTAAATGTTTTCTGAGGTTCCTAAGTGATAGTGATTAGTTAAGGATAGTTGGAAAAGTAAAAGTTCAGTAAGATAAAATTAATACTTGTACTAAAACCAAAGCAAAATAAGCCCTGAGGAATAGCAGTGCTTTTTAATCCCCAGTAATCATAACAGTAGGTTATTCTCTGTATTGTCTAGAAGTATAGGCTTAACAAGGCAACACAAATGTAATCTGAATCCAAAGCTAAACTAATCATGGATGTACTTATTAAAAAGTTACGCTGACTTGAAAAAATTGTTTGGACAACCTATTAGCTCTCCCAAATTTAGTTAACTGAGTAGAGTTGTGGTTAACCACCCAAACGGTCATCCCCCCCCCCCCCCTTCTAGAGATACCCTTTCCCCAGAGGACTTGCTGTGGTATAGAAATGCCCCACCACTTTGTCACCAGGTAGAGAGAATGTGAAAGGCAATCTCAGCATCCAGGCTCCCCATGAGATCACCTGATGTTTATTGAGACTGTGGTTCCTCTCTTGCCTCTGCCAAAGTCTATCTTGCTCTCCCCAACAAATGTTGATATCAGAGCCCTTTTCAAGAAACTTTGTACACACAAATGTCCATCTCGGGAATCTTTTCCTAAGAAATCTAATCTAGGCTGGCACATGCATTTTTTTTTTTTAATTAGTGAAGCCATTGTTCTCTTTATCGTGGCACCATATATTCTTAACAGTGTTTGTCCTAAGTCTCAGATCACTTAGACTTTGTACTATGTAGTTCTCCTGAAATATTTTTTCCCAGATTGTACCTGGTCTTGGATCATGCACCCGCCACAATTTCATATATAAAAAAAATTAAAATACAGAATCTCAGGATAAAGATTGATCAGCCTATCACACCAAAGTAACTTAGAAAAGTGCTTCTCAAAATCATTACCAATTCAACACCTAAAACTCATTTCTTACCTGATGAACAGTAGAGCCACCAGAACCCTGTGCATCCGAAGAACGTGTCACAGGAAGTGGAGGTACAAGATCTGTTTTTGAGCTGCAGAGAATGAGTTGGAATTAATGATTGGGACAGTACCTAGAGTTACAATTTGAGTTGGAAGAGGGGTATACCTTGGGAAGCATGTTTCACATACAGAGCATTTAATAGTTAATTTTTTTTTTAATTAAATTCAGGTAATTTGGGCCTCCCTGGTGGAACAGGGGATAAGACGTAACCTATGAGCTATCTGCAGCCACTGTAGCACGAGTTCACTCCCCAGCCAGGGGCTACCCACATGGTTCAGCAGACCTCTCCCAACTTGCCTGCTGCTCCCCTCAGCAATGTATTTCAGTCCATCTGCCTGTTCTGTTCCCTGCTCTATCTCTGGTGAATCCTCACCCCCCCCCCACCTCTGGCCTGTAGCCCAGTTCTTGTATGGATAAATCTTTAAAAAAAAATAAATATATAAATTCAGGTAATTTGTCCCCAAAACAGCAAATACAGGAACCAAGAATAAAACATGGGTGTGGCTTTGATTTGTTCTGATTACTTCTAACATCTAGAAAATATTGGCCATTCTTTTTTATAAACCTGTACCGCTACACGGCAGCCCTGCTCTATATTTGATAAACAAAATAACCCTGTTTCCCATCTTATTGTTTACCCAACATTTTGAGCCTTGGTTTACAGCTTAATGGTTAACAGTCCTACTCAGCAATACTAAGTGCATGAATTTCTATGACTGTAGTACTTTAAAAAATATATATATATTTTTATACGAGTAGCGGGGTACAGGCTAGATGTGCGGGTGGGTGAGAGGATTCACCAGAGATGGAGCGGGGAACAGAACAGGCAGACTGAAGAAATACACTGCTGAGGGGAGCAGCGGCTGAGACAGGAGAGGTCTGCTTCGCCATGTGGGATTCTTGCCAGTTGGCCAGGATTGAACCTGTGCTGCAGAGGCTGTGGACAGCTTCACAGAGTGGCGCTCAACCGCCTGCGCCACCAGGGAGGCCCTCTAACTGTAGTACTTTTGCATGTGGGTGCAAAATGATTTTGTTAACATACTCACTTAAAGCAACTGTCATATCAAGATTAGATATGGTTGCTTTCCTCAAAAAGTAATAAAAGTACATGATAGGGCCTCCCCGGTGGCACAGCGGTTGAGCGCTGGGTTGCGAAGCTGCCCGCGGCCTCTGCGGTGCCGGTTCGATCCCCAGCTGCTCCCCGGCCACCGGAGGAGGGTCCCACAAGGCGCGCAGACCTCTCCTGCCGCCCGCTGCTCCCCTCAGCAGTGTACTTCGGTCCTTCTGCCTGCTCTGCTCCCCGCTCTGGCTCTGGTGAATTCTCTCACCCACCTGTGCTTCTGACTGTACCCAGTGCATGCATAAACAAAACAAACAAATAAATAAATAAAACATGCCTCTATTTAAAAAAAAAAAGTACATGATACTTGTAGTAAAAGAAAGGGCATCAAAAAGAAATTTATCAAATGAAAAAGAAACTGCCAACTTCACTCAAATCTGACTGCATTTTTCACAACAGAACAGCCATGCATTTTTTTTTCCCTTATAAAGCCCTCAATGGAGGGCTATGACTCAGCCTTGGCATAGGCTACATCTGCATTGTGCGATATGGACCCATTAGCCACATATGCAATGTAAGTGTGAATTAAATTTTAGTTTTCACTCACACCAGCCATATCAAAAATTTGACAGCCATGTCATAGCAGCAAGTTCTGTTGGGCTGTTCTGTAGAGCCATGAGGTGGCAACGCACCAGGCCACTTACTTCACTTCTGAGAGGACGGACCGCTCTCCATCAGAACACTGGGACCGGCGGTACTGTCGGTAACTCCGAGGTGAGTGAGAGTGCCTGATGCGGACGGGGTCGCCTTGAGTCCTGAACAAGCATCAGAAAACAATCACACCAGAAGTCAGAAGAGGACAGTCTGGAGCTCTTCCTTAATATTGAAACCAAAAAGGAATAGTGATTTCAGGGGTTTTAAAAAGAACTTGACCCCCTTGGGCTTGTAAAGCCTAAGTGGCTTAAATTTTACAAGTTAACATTGAAAACTTACTCGTTTAGCCAAACAGAAAAATAAAACTTTCAGTGTTTATGTGTATGTGTGTGTTTATTTTTTAACCACCAAATTTTAAAGAAATTATTCCCAACAGTTGGATTCTCTCCGGTAGTATGGAAGAAAAAAAATCTACAATATAGACAAAATGGCATTATTACCAAAAAGAGTTGTGTCCTAGCTATTAATTTAATGTCATTAATTCAACTCCTGACCTCACGAAAAGGGTGGAGAAGGGGAGGGTGTACCAACCTGCAATTAAACAGGAGTAGGGAGGAAGTGTGGGCTACAGAAGGTAAATAGCAGTGAACGAGACACCTCCTCTTTTTGACCAGCTATAGCAGGTCAGAAAGCATAGTGACTGGGTCATCTTATGCTGCATCTTGTACTGAGTGGTGATTAGGAAATCCTGTTAGGCTAGTTTTATGTCAGGGATCGGACTGGGCTTTAAAACAGGTTTTAGGGCCAACATAATTCTCTTGTTAGAATATGAATAAAAAGAAACTTTGGTGCCAATCAATGACTATCTCAAGAAAGGAATTCATACTCAAAAACTGGTATTAATCAAAAGTCCTCTGATACCCACTATCTAGAAAATAGGCAGTTAATAGGTAATGACAGTGATTATAGAATAATTAGCTTTAGCATACCCTTTCCTATCTTTTTCTCTGTGGTTATTTATAAATTCGGTTAAAATATAAAGACAGATCATGTCATGGAACACCACTGAGAGTAGGAATGATTCTTCACTGTTAAGTACTAATAAAACTTATGAAAAGATTTACAAAGACATACTCACTCTATTTTAGTGTATGGAATCTCCTTTAATTGTTCTTCTGTCAATCCAGAAGGATCCACAAGTTCCTTTCTGGAAGGGAACAAGCAGAAAATTAAGACTGCACTCCTGGTATAAACACGCCTTTCACAATTGGCAAGTAGTTTTTCTTTCCTAATTTTGTCCCTAAAGACAGTGCTAGTAAAACTCATTAATAGAAATATATACATGGGCCTCCCCTGGTGGCGCAGTGGTTGAGCGCTGGGCTGCAAAGCTGCCCCAGCCTTTGCAGCGCCGGTTTGATCCCCGGCCGCCAGCGAGGGTCCCACATGGCGCGCAGACCTCTCCTGCAGCCCGCTGCTCCCCTCAGCAGTGTATTTCATCAGTCTGCCTGTTCTGCTCCCTGCTGGCTCTGGTGAATTCTCTCACCCTCCCGTGCTTCTGACTGTATCCAGTGCTTGTATAAATAAATAAATCTTTAAAAAAAGAAAGAAATATATACCAGAAGCAATGATATAAAACTAGAATGTATTAGAGAGAAAAATGGAAGGAAAACCTTTTCTGTAGCTCTTCTGCCTTATATAGTATTTCTATATCCAGAATGTTGATGCTCTCCAGGCATTTCCTAGTTCCTTCCAAAAGTTCTGCATCTCTGCCTGGTAGTAGGTGTCTTTTTTTCTTCTGAATCTGTTTTCCTTGGCATTTATTTTTAAAATATGGGCCTATCTGAGGCCCATATACAGAGGACGTTAACTGGTTCTAGGACACGTATCAGTGTTGCCTTTGTATGGACTGCTGGCATTGTGGGGCATCCCCACAGTGAGTGTGTGTTTGACAAGATAATAATGACCATTTGGCAGGCTAATGCGTCAAAGACGCTCTGGGTATCAGAGGTCTTCCTTGTAAATGCCTTAAAATGACATGGGTTTTGAAACAATGAATTAGAAAAAAAAAATACAGTACTCACTGAATATGCTTCCATAACTCTTCTTTTGCTTGGATATCAGGACTTCTCCTATAAATAGAGAAATGACTCACTTCTGTAAACATGTTTCATCTAACAACCTAACAGCTAACATCAGCCAACCTATAACATGAAAAGTTTTCAGACAGTTCTGCCAACTCAGAACCATAAAGAAAGTCTGGGCAGGGAGAGGTAATGTGGACGGTTAGTATAAAGACATGGTTATGTAATGTATGTGACAGTGTCAGGGGCGGGGGGTGGAAGGAGTCACATAAAACCAGTCATGACCAGGGTGGGTTTCATTTAATAAAAAACCTTGGAATTAATTGCGGAGGCAAATCTGCCTCATCACTCTAGTGGTGAGTTTACAGTGACGATGATTCAGGATGTCTGTTTCTAGTCCTTTTAATTATTTCTAAGCAAAGGCAAAAGAAATATCCTTTATATTTTATATGAAAGAATCCCCAAATGTTATACGATTACCTAGTAGAAGTAGCACACACACAGGTAAAGGAAATAGTGGAACAACTCAGATTAGTAGACTATGTCACCAACACATCTTTGCCACATCATATATTTTAAGGTTTTTGGGTCAAATCATGGGCTCTCAGATGCTAGAATATAACTGTGGTTTATAATACCACACTCTAGTGCCTTTTCCCAAACCTAACTATACATCCCATAATCTTTTCTCCTCCAAGAATTACTTAAGTGGAAATTATATCACTTCCTAAAAAGAGAAATTTGAAGTCAGCAGGCTTGTGTTTGCACTCCCCATAGTAGCAAGGAACACGAGAAATCTATTATCATTACAATTGTTGCCACAAAATGACTTTTTTCCCTGGTAAGAAAATGAAAAATTTCCCTGGTAAGGAAAATTTCATCAGTCCTTTAAAAAAAAATCTAGTAATAAGCCCAAAGAAAGAACCAAACCCTAGCTAAGCAAAGGCACTGACAGACCCTACTCTGTGGGATTTTACATGAAAAATTTAATTCATAATCTGTATCAGCATTTTTGGGCTCAAATTCAGTGTCAACATATGATAACATCATTTTATTTTTTCTCAGTTAATAAGGGAGGCATTCTTATAAGGCTCCAGTATCCACAGAATAAGCTACTTTCTAGCCATTGATTTGATTATGTTTATTTTTTCCTTTGTAGAAAAAAATATTTTCAGTTAACTCAAAAAACATTAAAACATGGAAGATAGGGGGGAAGGAATGAAGTCTTGGTCTCAAACATATAATGTGATATTGTTAAATGTAGATTTCATTATAAGAATCAAATTGCCTAAAAAAATCTTCAGTAATGCTTCTGAAGGATTTCCTTTATTGGCTGCCTTTCCTAAATTTGGCTGGTCTGATTCACTAAGACAGTATGTTAAAATATTAAATGATACTTCGGAGAAGGTGCTCATATTAAAAAGCACTAAGCAGGTGCTCATATTAAAAAGCACTAAGCTCACATTAAAAGCACTAAGCACCTTTCAGAGAACGGTGATTCCACTATATCTATACTATGGCATCTGATTCTCACAGAACGTCACCCAAAAGTCTAAAGCACTGCATAATATCTAGGCTAGGAAGCTACTCTACTGGTAATCAGTTCTAACGCTAGTCTCAGAACCAATGGCATTTTGGATGGATAATTTTTTGTCTTAGGGGGCTATCCTGTACATCGTAGGATGATTAATGGTACATGCGATCGCTATTACCTTAAACTTAACTAAAAACATATCCTTGTCACACTGGATATAACAGTATAACAACCAAAAGTACCTCCAATAAAACTGCCCTACATTGAAAAACACTTGTTGAAGCTACCACCTAATAGGCTGAGTGAAGGAACTGAGAGGCCAAGTCAGAAAGACCCATAATGCAGACAGTGAAACAGTGACAGGAATAATGACAGTGAGGCAGGGAAACAATCTTAAAAGGATGAGGGAATTGATGCAGTTGGTGACAACTACAAGGAGTGTCATTATTTCATGACATGAGAGTCAAAGCTAAGTGCTTTGAGAGAGAAGGAAGGAAGGAGAAGGAGAAAAAGCAATGAGAGGCAAGGACCACTCACCACAGGCCTAGTGGTGAGAGATGGTAAATAGGAACAGTATATATAGACTGATACCAGAATATTTCTGAGTGTTGGAATTACAGGTGATTTTATTTTATTTTTATTTTTTCCCACTTTTTTTTTTTTAAGCCAAGACAATTTCCTTACCTTAACTATCAGAAAAGAAAAAAAAAATAGTGGTATTTTCATGGTTTTTTTTTTTTTTTTTTTTTTTTTTTTTTAATTAGTATTGTTGTCTTTCCTTACCATCTTGGAAAAATTGGCAGAAATATTACCTTAAACTCAACTCAAAACATATCCTTCTAGCTATAAATACTGATTCTACAAGACTCAGGATTTCAGCCTATTTGTTTAACTTCCATAGCACTGTATCAGTGATTTACTTAATTAAGTTTTGAAAAGGTCTAGAGTTTCAAACAGCTTTAAGGTAGGGAAAAGTTCCAAAGCTAAAAAAAAAAAAAAATGCTAATTTCCACCAACTGCTAGCCCACCTGTGATTTAATAAATGTAAAGTGAGGCTATATTCTAATGAGGAATATATTATTTTTATGCTTACATCTGCACATATTTAATCAGTAATTTAGGGTGAATTCATGATCTGCAGTGGATATGGAAAGCTGTGAGTTTTAACACGCATTTTTCTTTTTTTTTTTTTTTTAAAGATTTATTTTATTTTTACAAGCACTGGGTACAGTCAGAAACGCGGGAGGGTGAGAGAATTGACCAGAGGCAGAGCGGGGAGCAGAACAGGCAGACTGATGAAATACACTGCTGAGGGGAGCAGCAGGCGTGGCAGGAGAGGTCTGTCGCGCCATGTGGGACCCTCGCCCGGTGGCCGGAGATTGAACCGGCGCTGCAGAGGCTGTGGGCAGCTTCGCAACCCAGTGCTCAACTGCTGCGCCACCGGGGAGGCCCACGCATTTTTCTTAATTAAAAGGCCCTTCACTATACAGACAGTCTACTTGAATGCACCAAATAAATTCCTAAGGAAACAGAGCCTTAACTTGCCCGCAGGCAAGACGTATATCAAAATAAACATGAAGTTCTATATTACTACAAAATTTTCCAAAGTATCCCTCATTAACAGTTTATATCAATAGCCCACTTTAAGTTACCAGTCATTTTCAAACAAATTAGTTTGATGGGACATCATTTAGAAATTATTTTCCTTTCTTCCAAAACCCTAAAAATAAGAAAACTTAATAAAACTATAAAGGGTTTAAACCTCTTCATTGTGCAGTCACCTTCTCTATCCTTCAAACACTCCCATTATGTACTGCAGAAAATATTATACTGATATATATACTATATGTGTTATACTATAGTATATAATATGCATTATTTTCCATATTATATTTTACTAAAAATAAAATAATAAATATGGCAACTTACTGTTTTTGTGATCTTACACAAAGAAAACAGTAAGTTTACTAAAAGCATCTTTATTTAAGGAATTCAAAACACTTAACAAATATCTCTATAACCCCTCATCACACCCCTGAGTGGTCAGAATAGACATAATTAAGAGATGTCTTATTCTTCCCCTCCTTCTCTATCCTTCACTCAGAACTAAAAGAAGTTTTGGGAGTAACCGAGCCTGCACCCTTGGTGCTGAAGATCACTTAGGAGTCACATCCAGGGACATCATCATGCTAAATATTTACTAATACACCACCAGAATTCTGTTTTGGGAACTGGGAACATCACTTTATCCTGATAACCTATTTTTCAATAAAATAGTAAGACATTATCGCCACCAGAGGGAGCCAGAGCATTCTCTCAAACACAAGTTAAACCTATGAAACTATTGTTTCAGCCTCAGTGCCCATTCCAAAGAACCCAATAAATAAGGTTCACCCACAGAGAAAGCATTTTCATCAAAGCCGACTTTTTGTTTTCTAATGATAAGCAAACAGGAATGCCATGCAATACAGCTGAAAAAATGTATTAAATAGAAACATACTTGTCAACATTTTATAGGTTGAGATCCAATCATATGTTAGCTTAATGTTTTTTAGGAGAGATTACTGTAAGTCTCTGTTCTCTAATAATATAAATTCCCAGATTTTCACTGCGTACTTAAAAAAGCAATAAATAAATCATGTATGAATGATGTACCATAAATATTCTGACCCTCAGTGGATACTTCTCTATGTTGGCAAGATATAGATATGCAGTAGGAATTCAAGAACTGGGAGAAAATGAGACATAACTGGTTTATTGCCTATCAGAAATGCCAAATATTCTTATAAATATAGATGAAGAACGATTTTTATTAATTTCACCAGTTATTGTTCCATCCACATTTTAAAAAAAAAACAAACTTATTCTCATAAAACCAATTCTAATTTTTATGTGAAATGGCCTAATCCTACCCTCTGCACATCTCACCTCTTGTTCATCTCAAGAAAAAAATACCAAATCTATTGTAAAGCTTCTAGAGGTTAACCAAAAACTTGAAGAACTTAATATTGTAGGTACTTGACACAGGTGATCTCAGTGCTTATTAAAATCCCATAAAGACAGTGCTAACAGCCACTGCAGCACAAGTTCGATCCCGGGCTGGCCAGGGAGCAACCCACGTGGCGCAGCAGTGTATTCCAGTATATCCACCTGTTCTGCTTCCCAGTCTCTCTGGTGAATCCTCTCACACCCCCACATCTCTGGCTTACACCCCAGTTCTTATATGGATAAATAAATACATCTTTTTAAAAAAATAAAATCCCGTGAGAATGGCATCATCTATATGGGTAATGAGCTGAAATTAGGAGGCCCAGAATGCAAGACAATAATATCCAGCAAGCATTTTCTTGTCAATATAGCTCAGGTTTTTACTGTCAAAGTCCAAATTAAACAGTCAGTTTGTCCTACATAAAGTAAACCAGCACCTTCCAGAATCAGAACACTTTTATTCGGTTGTCTATTTAATACTTCCTCTTTATTGCCTACTTGATTTCTCAAATCTAACAAAACAAAA